GACGAGGAAGAAGACGTAAGAAGATGCTGGATGACCTTGGGGACAGAAGAGGATACTGTCATTTGAAGGAGAAAGCTCTAGATCGCATTAAGTGGAGGAATTGTTTTGAAAGAGACTGTGGACCTGTCGTCTTGACAGATTACTGATGATGATGATGATTACTTCACCTACTAGACATACTGTTGCCGCCACCTACCTGCGTTTCCTATCCAAGCGTGTGACGCCATCAGGTGTGTAAAGTCTGAACTGTGGACTGATCCCATCCGACCAGTTCTAACGGCCGGTATTTCAGTTCACTGTATATTATTACGACAAGTGACACCAGCTTAATTTTATATGCTTCTTACAGATTTCAACAGAAAATAGCTCTTTAATGAGCGCCTAAGTGAGATATAGACAAAAGACAACATTATCTTTGCCATTAATTATGTACCACAATATTAGGATACAGCTTCGGGCATGCATAATAGCGGAAAGAATATGTACAAATTTTCACAGGTAACTTGAAATTGTATCAATTAACTCACTCGACAAGAAGTACAAATGCATGCAAATTCCTATCTGTTACGATTTTTTGAAGATAATGCCTGATTCATATGAATGAAACTATGATTTAATTATGCCGAATATGCTCAGATATGATTTGGAATATTGTCGTTTCGTCTACAGAAATGAGAACGCGAGGTTGTAGTGTAGATCAAATGCTCAGTCTTTATTTGCTGCTTTCTTTCATTTGCTATAGATTCCTGGCCAGAACTGCGTTTTCTCTTGATTAAAATGGTGACTTAAATTAAAGAGTGACCGAATTAATGAGGTGTGGGTAATAATAATTTCGACTCTGGCATATAAGATTATTAATTGCAAAGGAACAAAGCCACTCGTTACATTATACTTAAAATTTTTTATCTGTCTTGTTTACTTCTGTCTCAGTAGAGCATGGATGGAAAACTATCAGGTCCTGAGCTTCCGTGACAAACTTCCAGCACATGACACGAGACCTCCAGGTTGGGAGTTGGACGCAAGGCTGACAATCTTGCTCTATAAAAAAATGAAAACTAGATGCACTCTGCCAGAATCTCCTAAGGTTGCGTATGGCTAAAAAGGGGCTGTTTTGCCAATGATGATGACAATTACTATTATTATTATTATTAAACCTCTGAGGCCTGCCATTGAGAAGTTCATATTACACACGCTTCTACAGCTTCTTTCATGCCAGTATGACAATCCAAAGGCAGAAGTGCTGGAATAGTGTCATTAAATAAACTGAGCATCAATCTTTAGCTTCTACTCCTGAAGGAGGTTAAATTATAGTCAAAAGATATTTTGGTACTTCATGCACACGGTAGCGTTGTTGGTTGAGGCACTATGCTACAAGCCGGAAGGTCACGGGATCGAATCTCGATGAGGTCACTGGATTTTTTCAATTGATCTAATCCTTCTAGCCGCACTATGGCCCTAGGGTCGACATAGCTTCTAACAGAAATGAGTACCAGGAATATTCTTGGGAGTAAAGGGTGGCCGGCACGTAGGGCTGACAACCTTACTGCCATCTATGAGCTGATTGTCTAGAAAATATGGGAACGTTATCATCTCATAACCTTATGGACCTCTTTGGCCTGTTACAGGGATACCATTACTTTTACTTTTTAATTTATGTGAAAAGTATGATTCCTGGATCAGTATGGTATAGGCACAATTGTGTAACAAATACACAAAAACTGCTATTAATAGTGGCATTATAGGACTCAATAGTAGAACATATAGAACAATAAATAATTTTGTCCTTGATCCCTGCATAACCATGGAAGGAAAGACATGCTGGAAGATCATTTATGTTGAATAGGAGTAACATATGAACCCTTAGAATTTTTATAGTAAAAATACAAATTCTTGTATCTAAAAATTGCACAGTAAATCACATTCTCTATGCAATGTAGATGTATTGTCATGTGTTCGGGTGTTCATTTTACGTTTGTATCACCCTAGAACTTTTATGTGAGATAGGTACATAACAGATGAAGTTCTAATGTTATATTACATCACTTGGCCATGCATTCAAACCACAAAATATTTATATGACTGCTTCATAGATAGAGTAAACAAATGGAAAATGAGAAGAGTTTTCTTTCTGTGCTCCATGTACTGGTAATATTTTGAGATATACTTAGGCACAGAGAAGACCTAACTTTTTTTTTTTATATCTCATACTTGACTAGAATGAAATTAATGATTTATGTTATAAGATAAAACAGCAGTATATATGTAAACATTCTTATACTAATAAATTAATTTGGAACCTCAGAGGTGCTGTACCTAGAAAAATTTATTGAACTTAATGAGATTAAAAAGGCATCCATTACTGAAAGTGAAGAAGGCTTGATATAAAGAATCCAGTCCCTTACAGGACCATGTCCACCTTAAAATTCCTGAGCTGCATATATGGAAAATTATTAATATTTGATGTTATTACCTCAATATTTACAGCTTTGATTACACTGTGCAGTATGGTTTTATCATACAAATGTTATTAGTTCATGTTTGTCTATTTTGTATGCTGATTATGAAAATGAGAAAAAAAAGAAAACATTATTCTAGCACCCACAGCTTTTGAGAGGTCCCCAAGTTTAGATTATTTGGGGTTTACATTACAATAAGAAAAGGAAAGGGGTCTGTCATTTGCTTTCCCCTGCTCTACAAGGTCCTGCAGGTTCATGATCACAGCATCTCCACGTCCATGTCCATTCAGACAGTTTTGTTGTTATTGACTTTCATTTGTCACCTTATTTCAGGCAGCTACTTTCATGTATTTTGTTCATGGCATGTCTTAATTTCTAGTCATTTCAACCATATTTTTGCTTGAAAGAGCCTCATCTAATATTTCAAGCAGATTATGACTGATTTCATTAAAAAAATGAACTTCAGTATTTGGCTTTTAATTGAAGGTTGGAATATTCTAGACAGAAACACTAAGATGTTTTTGTTCCACAAGCTTCACACTTTATTTATTATGTTTTTCTCAAGAAGGCACTGCAATGTGTACTGTAACATTTTAGACACTCTCTTGGAAATTCTTAACCAATGGCATGATCCAAATAATTGACCCCTATTATTTAATTCCTTCAGCTGAGTTTTAAAACATTGTTACTCGACAATGGAAAAAAATACCCTTCATTCCAGTTGCAGATGTCATTCATGTGAAGGAATCATATGACAGCATGCACCATCTCGTGAAACATAACCAATATAATAAATATTCTTCGCATATATGTAAAGATTTACCTGTAAAACTGGTAACACATCTTCATGATTTATTAATTCACTATATGAAATTCAGTTGTTCCCTTTCTGCATGGGAAGGTCATTTTTCACAGAAACTACTACTATTCTTGCAGTCATTGATTCCAGTACAAAATTGGTCATCACTCAACCTCTTAATTAATCCAGATAATATTCTCTTGTCATTACTTCATAATAAACTAGGTTCAGTGATAAAATCTATTAGGAACAAGACTAAAACAGTATAAGTCTCTCTACTTGAAATACGAATATAAATATCTGATGAAATTTAAATAAAGTTGAAGGAGAAGATTGGGTAGCATTTAAAGCAGTGACAAAAAATTTAGTTGGAGGTTTCAGAGCAGAAAATTATGAACCACCTGTTGAAGAACTCAATGCCTACAAATTCATGGATTCGCATAATGTCATTAAGAATTTGTTTTGTTTTTTTTTTGTACTCCATCTCAACTGTTTCCGTAATCTCAGGTGCTCTTAACAGAGAGGCTGGGAAAGCTCGTCAGGAAATTTCCATTGTAAAGAAATGTTGTTAGGGCATGTGGAGCCCCACTATCTGGCTGACTGTTGCTGGACATTGGTAAGAATGCCCCAGAGATAAAGTACAAGCATAAATCACCAGTAGGAGCATTTTAGGTGAGTTCATTATGCATTGTCTACTTTGAAGTTCTCTTTTTTTTTTTTAATTGATAGAATTTAATTCTCAATTCACTCAAAGTTGGTGGGTATAGAAAAATTTGAGGTAATTTTAAACTCCACATTAATAAACATCTAAAATCCATCTATTTTTATACATGTGACAAATGAAGTGTTTGTTTTGTCATTCACTGCCATTTCACACTTCTTATTACATTCAAGTATCATCAATTTTTAATTATTACAAGTATATTACTTGAAGCATTATAAAAACAATGAAGGCACATTTAGAGAAAACATAGTTCCAGAAATATTTTTGCAAAATCGGTGTTTCATCACAGTTTAATTAATTTCGCTTAGAGGGGGTGGAGTCCAACTGGGTCCACTCAGCACGGCGGCCACTGATTGGCCTATTGTAGCCTGTCCCAGGTGACTATGATGATGGAGAATTTGGTGGAATGAAGATTGGCAGGGGAAACCAAAGTACTCGGAGAAAACACTCCCCAGCGCCACTTTGTCCACCACAAATCCCACTTGATCAGACCTGGGATGGAACCTGGGTTGCCGTGGTGGGAAGCCAGTGACTAACCGCTTGAGCTATGGCGCGGCCTTCATCACAGTTTAGTTCTTGTTCTAAAATAAGATTTACAGTAACAATAAAGTTTCATATGGAAGTCTGTTACACAAGAACTTTGACTGCCATATGTATTTATTCGGCTAACAGCACCAACGACTTGTACACTGCTGTTTCCTATGTGGTGACGAACTGTAGCTTCAAACAGTGCATCTCCTGGTGTAGTTCGTACCACAAGCACGTAATCTTTCAATCCCTGATCTTTTGTTTTTTCATACAGATGTTCCAAAGGATATTCGACAGTTGCACTTTTCACCTCTGCAAGATGAAGTTGTGAACACACTCCATATGGCTTCAGAAGAGAATTTAGATGTTCAACTAGTATCAGTGACATATTTTTTATTTTGGCATCTGTCAGTGGCAGAGGCTTGCTCTTGTGACATGTACACCAGTGTGGGTCTATACCAGCTTCATTGCAAGTTCGAGACTTATGCACTGGGAGGAATAAACTGATTTGTCTAGGTTTTGATTTGCCTTTGTCCAGTTCTGTACTACGTTTTCGTATTGATTCCTTCTCAATTTGTTTAAAGCTTAGGATATCTAGTAGTGTTTCATAAATATCAAAGGGAGTAGTAAGACGATGAGCATTTTTATGTAAGTTAGCAATAGCAGTGGGATACAGATTTTTGAACCACTCAGGAAACACAAAGAACACAAATGGTAGTCTCTCCTCTAAACGTCCTTGGTAAGTCTCACGAATTCCTCCCCATCGTATTCCATGGTCACTCATAAAGATAAACACTGTGTGATTTAGGGAACCAGTATGTAATAGCTGATTTAAAAATCTTTCATGAAGATCATCGCCCAAACTTGGATAATTAAGGAAATCGTGTGTAAGACTCGTGCCCCAGAAGAATGCAAATGTATCTTTAGATGACATTGTGATTGCAAAGTTTGATACATAATCAAGGAGCACTGCAACAGACATTTTTGACCCTATACATAATTTTGCATTTAGTTGAGTTTTGTGTCCAATATCATCTTCAGCTGTTTTTATGAATGGCCTTACATAATAATCAGTTGGCTGTTCCTTAAATCCACGTTTCACATAACTAAATAATCCCATCCATGCAGCATCTTCTCCAAATGCTGTTCGATATCCTGCTGCACTAAAGTTCTTCCAAATCCAGTTGCATCTGTCAAATACTGAAGTCAATTTTGGCCAACACGTATGTTGTAATTCCTTTTCTGAGAGACCAGAAAGAATTGGAATGAGGTTTGGAAATGTGTTATCAGCTACTTTGTTGTATCCAAAGAGTTCAATAGCATGAATTTTACGTAAGAGGCTCTCTGTTTTCGGCATCTGTCGGTGGAAATTTAAGCGGGATACAGCATCCATTCCAAGTACTAGTACGCTAAGATGTTCTGTATTTTGACTAGGCTTATTTTTTCTACTCTCTTGGCAGAGTTTCTCTACTTCTAGTTTTATAGGAATAAAAGCGTGATAGTTTTTATATACAACTTGGTTATCCACACTGCACATAACTTTCACAAACTCCTCTTCTACAGAAACATCATTCTTAAATGAGGTACAGTTATCAGCAAACCTGTAAAAAGAAGTAATCCCACATAAGATTAATAATTGAGATGTGTCCAAACTAGTAATTATTAATATGTCTCATTCTCACGTTATTTTGCTGTCAAAGTTGTCATCTCCACTGTGTGTCTTGGATCTCCAGAATGGTTGGTAGCAGCAGTTCAGCTGGTCCTCATCACTAATATTGAAGAATGGCAATGCAGACTTCATGATGAACAGAGATGTAAGATTAGCATTAACAAGTAGAGGATGTTTCTCATGGCAATTCAGTGGCTTTTCCTTTTTTATGAACTCATGAATAACTGGATCATATGGATCCAGATCTGGAATCCTACATCCAGTTGTGTCCACTACAAATCCAGACCTCACACTGTGAACTGGTTTAACAGTAACTGTAAAAGAGAGAAGTGTTTTTTTGTTTCATGCTTTAATGTTCATTTCATAGCATTGTCAGTAGCTCAGATTATATAGTGACAAATATGAGGATTATTAAAGAAAAATAAAGTGGAATGAGTGTGAAAAGTAGCAATTGTGGCCTCATTCGCAATATTATCCTGGAAATTTACCTTTGGAGACTTAGGAAAACCTCAGAAAAATCCAGTCAAGAGAGCCGACATATAGTCCAAGATCTGAACTCAATACGTGTCAAATATGAATCAAGTTTTCTGTCCCCACAACTCCAACAGAAGTTACAAATGCCATGCTAAAGCTTATGTATCTATTCATTGCATAAGTTACCTGTTATCGATTACTTAATATTCTTCAATCATAGAAGAGACATGGCAAAGGGATCCCTTTAGCTAATATACCAGATATAATGAACATTTAGTAAAGGGATACAAGCAAAAGATTGAAAACAAAACTTGTGTTTGCTATAATGGTACACCCAGTTGGCATGACTATTATATAGAATAATCATATGCAAGAAATATATTCTGATTGACTGGGCTGGGAGACACAGCATTTGGAAAGTCATGTAACATATAACCTACTCCTTTTTGAACACTGTACTTCTGTGGATGTTATTCCAGACAGAATTCCAGTATGATTATTTGCAAAAAGTCATTGAAACTAAATTTCTCAATACTCATGGTCCACAAATTACCAGTGATCTGCCTCCGTCTTCAAGGTAAAGGACTTGTATTTATGCATAAATAAACACGTGAATTTCGTGATAAAATCATTATATTATTCTCATTTTACAAATCATTCCAATCAGAATTTTGAAATACATTTTGTTAATATTCTGGTGACTGCCAAAGAAAACCCATACAGTTTGTGGCCCAGAAGAATTTGGGAATATCTGACTTTGACAGTGAATTAGGATGTTCTAACTTATGACGTATTTTGAACCACAAATAATACACATTCAAATAAAACGATAACAAGCTAAGAATTATTCTTGTTCTTATAATGGTGAAATTTTCATTATTTGATACCGCTGAGTAGGCCTACATACTACTTACATACCTGTACTCTGTTCGTTTAAGGTAGACGAATTCAATTTTAAATACAAATAGATAACAAGTTTTACTTCTGTATTGTGGAAGAGACAAATATTCTGTTAGTGTGCTCTTTAGAGTCTTGTGTTTGAAAACATTCAGGTGGAAGGAAACATGACAATACACAAACTGGAAAAGGCTCCAAGACTCCAATAAAGCTACTAATAATTCCAAGCTTAATTCTATAGCAAAATGATATTCCATGTATATTATATCGGTTTATTCATGTGAGAAAAGAAGAAATGTTTTAGGTTATTATTTTCTCAGAATGTTTGTATTCACAAGAGATTATTTTTATAAAAAATGTCGAAAAACATTTTCAATTGTACCGTGTATTGCAACTCAACTAGTTTTCTAAATGAGGAGATGAACATGAATACCATTTGCTATGACAATATTAACATGCCTTGAACTAGATTCTGCTTGCATATGCATGGATCCATTCCTGAGAGAACAGACTCTGTTCTGACGTTCATCAAGCAGTTTATGTCCTCTCTTGATGAGCAGTGCAACCAATCTTGATTTTACACCTTGTGTATTGACATTTCAGCAAATTGGGCATTCCATTGAAACATTATATAATTTTTTTTGGGGGGGAGTGTATTTCGCTGTAATAATAAACCCACAAGAAAATGCAGTTATGTACTCCAAACCAGTTATGATTATTAATTATACCAAAAAACACAAAATTATTTTATTAAGCTCTGTCAAAAGTACCCAAATTTCAGCTCTGGCACATTATGAAGCTTACTGCTGGCAATGTTTCTGGGGCTTCATACTTACTGGCTGTTATATTGCTTGGCAGTGGAAAGCGATAATGCATTTCTCCTCCGATATCAAAGATATAAAGAAAAGATGCAAATATAACTATAGGTATCCATAACAGCCATCGTCGGAAAGATGCAGCTTTCTTTTCATTCTTGTTATAAATACCAGATGATGGATCAGGCTGGAATTTCAAGAGTTGTTGAGGCTCCATCTTAAAAAAGCAAAAACGAAAGTTCCATCACAACACAAAATGTAAAAACTCTGGGCAAGAGAGAAAACATGCAACAATTAAAAGTAGACGGGCATGAGGTAGTGCAGTGTAGCGCTACAAGCCGAAATGTTGTGGGTTCGATTCCCGATGAGGTCATTGGATTTTTCAATTAACCTAACCCTTACAGCCGCACTATGACCCTAGAATCTACTCAGCCTCCAACAGAAATGAGTACCAGGAATCATCCTAGGAGTAAAGGGAGGCCAACGCTTAAGACCGACAAGTCCAGCGCCGTCTGTGAGCCGATTGTCTAGAGAATGTAGGAGCCTCGACGTCTCAATTCTTAAAGATTCCACATTTACAGTAACGTACAACGCAAAATACGTGTTAGAGTCATTAAGTTCGTGGAATGTGGTTTTATCGCATCATGTTACAATATATTTACACACACTTACGCAGATCCACATCGGCCCTCAAAATAGTTACCATTGGCCGCTATGCAAGTCTGCCAACGTTGATATAGCTGTCGAAAATATTGCTGAAACACACTGGCAGTAAATTCCCGTACGACGCTTTGCGGCCATTCCACGAACTTATTGACTGTGGCAGTACGTCTAAAAGATAGTGATGTCTCTAACCCCATCTTTGAGGTCACTTTAAATTACTATATGACAATAAAATAGGATAACATAGCATTCCAATCCGGTCTAATCTGCAGGTAGCGCGCAGTCAGCCCTCAAGGACCTGTCCTCAACATCGCCAATTAAAGGCATGCCACTGGAATTACACAGCGTTCTAGCCTGCAGCTGGCTTACAGCCCCCAAGTACCACATTTTAACATCTCCGCAAGTGCCCTACTCTCCATATATATCATTCTAATTTTGAATATTTTTTTTTTTCGTTGGCACTACATCCCCAGTGGGCCTAGGCCTACCTCCATGAACTTCTCCGTTCACTTCGGTTTTTCTAGATCTTAGACATAAAGTAGGACTCCTTGGGCGAGTGATCAGCTCGTCGCAAGGCCTCTACCCGTAGATAAACACAGAAAAACGCACACAAACATCCATGTCCTGAGTGGGATTCGAACCCACGATCTCGGCTTCCGAGCGAACGAAGACAGTGCATGCCTTAGAGAGCTCGGCTACCGTGACTGGCAATTTTGAATTAAGTCTACACAAATATTTATATATATATATATCTGATAATTGCCTCTTTTAATTAAAAAAACACTTCGAGATTATTAAAACCTCTCTCCATGGGAGCATCACATCAAATAATTTTATGGAATACGAACCGGTAATTAGCCTGTTAATGTGGACATTACTTTCGTAGTACCTGTCTTCATGAAACATAAGTGGTTCAAGATTAATTTGTGACTTTACCATCGTCAATGAGTGGTTCTGAACTTACGACAGCATAAGAATTCCTCTTTTCAAGTATCTTGAAAATGGCAAGATTTACGGAAAGAATGTATTGAGCATGATACACGTATATTTGTATTATTTTTCTTCACTACTTCTGTTCTAAATATTTTTGTTCCGGTTAATTTTTACCGTATAAATATTATGTTTCTGGACATTATCCATCGTCTTGTCTTTATCTAAAAACATTCTTGTTTTTTTTTCTTTTCAAACCACAACGTTTCGAAGACAATTCTGTCTAGGTCTTCAAGTAAAACCTACTCGTTTGGGCCCAATCGATAGAGCTAGTCTTCAACTCAGTAGGTTTTACCAGAAGACGGAGACAGAATTCAACATCCGAAACGTTGTGTTTTGAAAAATAAACAGGACGGGTTTTAGATAAAGATAAAACGAAGGATAATGTCCAAAAATATAATATTTGTGCTAAGGTCCCATCGTCACAAACTTTTAAGTATTTACCGCTCCAGATAGGCGCAGAAACGCATTTAAACTCGACATTCATGCAAAATGTACGTCCATATCGAATTTTAATAGAAATTAGAACGTGTAAACAAATTATAATGAAGCATCCCATTATCACATTTCAGGATATTTCATATATTTGTTTTCGATTTCCTACATAGGGGCATACGGACAGAAATGGCGAATATATTTGGCGAAGTCTTTAAATTTTTCTTCAATAAATCACCAAAATCATGTCAAGTAGTCGCTTGATGGGCAAGTGAGAGCAGTGTTGCTTACATAAAAATAGCAAAAAGTATTAAGAATTAGTTTAAACTCTAGGGAAAACGGCATTGGCCTTACAAAGCTTGATTTTTGGATAGGGTTTTGTCTCTATCCTGAGGCCAAAAGCCTAATTCGTTGCCCGGAGATAGGAACTAACTTTATCGATTGGGCCCAAGTGAATAGGCATTTTGCCTGAGGACGGAGGCAGAATACGTTCTCCAAAACTTTGTTTTAAACAAAAATAGGAAACTGTACCATATACAAAAAATCAATCATTGTATTAACATACCATCGTCATGAACTTTTAGTATGGGCCGCGCCATAGCTCAAGCGGTTAGTCGCTGGCTTCCCACCGCGGCGGTCCGGGTTCGATCCCTGGTCTGGTCAAGTGGGAATTGTGGTGGACAAAGTGGCGCTGGGACAGGTTTTCTCCGAGTACTTTGGTTTCCCCTGCCAATCTTTATTCCATCAATTGCTCCACAATCACCCTCACGTATCATCTGGGGCTGGTACAATAGGCCAGAAGCGGTCGCAGTACAAGGGGCTTAGNCTTTCCCACCAATATCCTATTCGCATTCTTCGTCTCCCCATTCGTGCTACATGACCTGCCCACCTCATCCTCCTTGACTTGATCATTCTAATTATACTTGGAGAAGAGTACAAGTTATGAAGCTCTTCATTATGCAGTTTTCTCCAACCTCCTGTCACTTCATCTCTCTTCGGTCCAAATATTTTAGTATAGGCCTTGTAGCCCCATTAGAATTGGTCTCGGAAACCGATGAGACCGCAGATGTTGGCAACATTAGCCATAATTCTGTTTCCTGTCATTCGAGTAAGGATGCCTATCAGTCTTGCAAGACCAGGAGTGCAATGATCACGAGGCAACAAGCAATAGCACGACTATTCGGAAATAAGAAGTGAAGCTGTAAGCAACAGTGCCACAACAGGGAGTAAGTAAATAGCAAACAATCAAATACAATAAAAGGCGTCAATTTATAGATAGTACCTCTATAATGAAACAGGCATCAATGTTCTCAGTGTAGTTTGTATGATCCCATATGTAACATGTACGGGATCAATGTCACTGCAGAGTAACTCAAGCAAAATATTATCAGAATCACGGGGTTTATGGATTTTGTCCATCGTTCAATAATCTAGAAACTAGAAAAGACAACGTTTCGGAAACTTAATTACTTCCATCCTCAGGTGAATGTTGAAGACAACTACTCAGTTGGGTGCCTTAGAAAGAGCTAACCTCAATCATTGTATGATGGGCAAAATCCAAAATCCCAGTGATGCTGAGTGTTATACACCATCGTCAGAACCCTTCAGAACCTACAACAGATTGTCGTGGTCTAGTACGTAATGGATATACAGGCACCTAGAAACAGACATTCCTTACTGCTTCATTTGTTTCAAATTTATTTTGTGCATTGCTTATTTAATTGCGCAATGCGCTACGAACACATGAGGGGTAGTGGTGTTATAGTTCCACCAGTTTTGGCCTTAGCATTATGCCGCTTCAAATGACAGGATGATTAAGCGGCCGTGACCTATCAAATATACTATCAAAGCATTTGTCATGAAGGATTGAGGAACGCCTCGAGAAAATAAGGGCACATCTTCTTGGGACCGAGTGTTGAACCTAGGACTCGCAATATAGAAAGAAGTAATGCTACACACTACTATGACCCTTCGGCGTTGAAGGCATAAACTGCTGTTCCATCTTTGTTAATAACAAACGTAACATTATACAGGGTCACGTTCGTTTCCACTATGTTTTTTTTTTTTTAATTTTCACCATCCCAAGCAATATATCAAATATTGTTATTTTTATGTTAGTTCCAAGGTAAACAATTATTCATACTATTGCAAAAGCACTGGTGACTGTAACTGGAGAAAGGGGATAGGGGATGTTACACTTTTGTGAACTAATGACGAATTCATAGTATACTAACCATTTTTCCTAAACGATTCTCTTATGCATAGAACTGAAATGGGTAAAGAGTGCATAGGTACTTGAATTCAGTGAGCCGACACTAGGAACGGTCCACAGATTTCTTATTTTTAATTCAATTTTCGTGACTTCGATTTTCTCCAGGAACATTCGAATGCACCTGGAGAGGAATTTTCTTAAAATGTTCAGTAATTTTCATTTATCAGATTTCAAGAAAAGGAAATCAGTAGTTGAAATAAGTTCTCAAACAAATTAATTATGTGAAAGAACTGCTTTATTATTTGGTTGAAAATAATAATATAATTTAAAATATATGTAGCAAATCCTTCCAGCAGCACTATGGTCCTGGGGTCGACTCAACCTCTAGTAGAAATTAGTACCAGGAATCTTGCTCGGGGGTAAAGGGTAGCCTGTGTGTAAGGCTGACAACCTCACTGCCATCTGTGAACCGATTGTGTAGAAAATGTTGGAGCCTCAACATCTCACAACCCTATGGGCCTCCAAGGCCTGTTACAGGAATACCTTTATTTTTTAATTTTTTTTTTACCTTTATAGCACATAATTACCTGCAATATATGCTAATGAGAAGCAGTTCCAATTTATAACTCTTAAATCTACCGCATTGTCCTCAATTCGTTCTCATATTTTCAGCCCCAATATTCATGATACCGGATTGAGATACTTCTTGCTTAAATTCATAGGTCTCCACCCTGAAACAAAAGAGGAAAGCATATCTGTGAAGGTTCTCAATAAGTAAGGTTCCCTAGATCATAAAAATGGAACAGAAGTCATTAGTATGGAAAATGTAGCCAATTCATTCCACTTAAGTATCACTGATTTTCCAACACACATTAACGGAGAAGCAAGTTTTTAAAATTTGGAAGATGATGTTAACACCCCCCCTTCAAGTTGTGGGGAAGCGTAGTTTTCAAGAATGCTGAATGTACATTATTGTTTATGTGTTGTGTTGCAAGGAAAGGTGGATCCATCAGTTCTTTGTCGAGTGTGAAGTGCCTAGGAGAAAAATGAAACATTAAAATACGTAGAGTGGGACAGTTATTGCTGATCTCTAAAACCCGATTTTGCTGATGGGGTCAGTAGAGTAAAGCAGTGTCAGGGCCGCTGCTAAGTAATAAAGAGATTGTTGTAGCGTAATCCCCTCGGTTTGTTTCGAAAGGCAACTGATTCCACCCGGACTAGTTTTGCCAGTCAAAACCTGTTACATTTCCTACATGATCATACGTATATACAGTCTCTTTATCCATATCTTAAGGGACAACCAAATTTATTAATGAGTTATGTCACATTTTTGCGCGGACAGAGGCCATCTTCCTTGTCATACATTCAGCTTGAGTGACTGCAATTAAGATAATATCACTATAGGAGACTTTTTTTTCCTTCTGGGGAATGGATTTGAGCCTTTTGATACGCATAACTGTCAAATTTTGTTTTCGAAAAGCATAGCTAAATTCTCCGATATTTGAAGATGATTACTTCGAAGTCTGGGTCCACAGTTTTTTTTCTGAGAACTGGTTTCTTCCAGCGGTGTTACGTGATTGGCTTATGCTGATTGCATAATGAACTGGATATTTAAGATCAGCCAAATAGAGATGGATTTTTGTCTGATAGAGGGATGTCGTTGATTAGAGTCCTTATAGGGATGAAGTGATATTTCTGCAAGACACGTTGTCTTCAAACGTTTTCTGTCTTTGCCCCCTCGGAGCCGGATGTAATTTGACCACAATTAAACTACAAATAATCTTTCGGAACTTTATAAAGCATAAATTGTGCATTGGGAATTATTGAAACTTGATAATAATATTAAAAAGGCCGAAATTACGCCTTACTTGCCAAGAAAAGTTATGGAACTTGAAAATGACTGGCCACAAAAGCTACTCTAATAAACAGACTATCAAGAGTAGAAGGTGTTGTAAATTTGTAATGATGGACTAATTTAACATATGCAGTGTCTCTGGCTGCTTAAGTGATTTGCTGTAGCACGAACCTAGGAACAGGTAAAGGTACTATTCCAGACACCAATTATGTGGTCTATCTCGGCTAGGATTTTTGTGGGTTTCTTTAGTCTCTTCAGTTCGACACTAAACTAGAAGATTGAAACAGGACAAGACCACTGCCTTCCATACTACTTTCTGGTCATCATTAATGCTTATTTCTGAACTTCAATCTGCGCTGTATATTCTTTGCATCTGGAGCACTGACCCTAAATACGTAACCTAAGCAGAAAATAGCATAACCTGTGTTTCAGTGCAGGAACCCGAATGTGTTCGAGGTAGAATAAAAATGATGTCCTTTTCAAATTTTCGTATTTTAATGTAGGCTTATATTTTTGTAAACGTACTGCTGAATATTCATCCGTATAGCCCGAAAATAACCTGAAAAACAAGGATAGCGTAGTCTGTATAGCAACTGGCTACGGACTGTACGATCAAGGGGTCGGAGTTCGAGTCCCGTTGGGGGCAAGAATATTCACTCCTCCATGTCGTCCAGAGCGGAGACTAACTTTCCGCTATTTAGAAAAGCAGATATCTCAGAAACATCTGTGAATTCTATTTCTGTCTTTTAGAGAAAGTTGGGGGACAGCACCTGCTCCTGTCCCTTAAATTCGGTCCAAAATTTTTTTCTCCTCGCGAGAGACAGATTGTGTTTTAAGCTGCTGAATTGTCTTGTAGGTCTGCCTGTTTCTGTGGAGTTCTCTTACCTTAAAATTACGTAAACTGGGTCGATGTAACTTCTGATGGCAGTGACTGATATTCTGACACCAACAAATTCTCCAAAATACACTGCCGCTTTTACGTCAGAGACACAAATATTATAAATAGGTAGGAATATTTTAACGTTGTAATACTCTCTCCAACTTCTAATTTCACGGACAGCTAATAAACAAGCTATTAGACCTAATGCGAGAATGGTGACATATCGTCTCTAATATAAGAAGGCTGATTCATGTGGGCACACGTGTGAAAAAGATGAGTGCGTCTTGTTATGAGTGTATCATTATCGGGTTAAACCAAGTCTTCGTTGCGCAGTTCCGTCTGTGACAGATTACTTAAGTACGTAATTTGCTCCGCCCAGATAAGAGAGCCGTCTCTAAGGCCCCCCCCCCTACATAGTTTGGCCTCCAGTTCGGCCTGCACAGTTGAAGACTGAAAGGAAAAACTGACGTGTGTGGTGCGTCCGGCCGGCCAATCGTTTGGACTGTTGGCCTGTGGGAAACCCGTCAGTCCGTCAGTTCTGCCTGCAGGACCGTAGCACGTGACGTGTGTGACTCAACATTATAGGCTGGAAGACCGAGATTGTGGCATGAAGCCTGCCGCTTTATCTACGCGTGTATGGGGAGGAAAGGGAGGGGGTAAACTGTCACAGTTTTGCCTGTAAGGTCGATCGGAAGGCCAAACTGTGTGTGTATGGGGGGCCTAAGTAACCCTCGATCATATTGTGTTTAACTCTTACTATACGCATTGCGTGTTTTAACTTTTAAAACTCTATATTATGCCAACAAAGCTTATTTGTACGCTTGTATGATTCTCAGAATAAATACAGATTTTATTTCTAAATAGCTTCAATTGGCTGGTATTCGTAAGGAACAACCAGCCGCATCTTTGTGGAGCAGGAACCGAATTTTATAAATATAACTTAACTTGCTCGGTCAGTATAGCAATGGGATACGGGATGAAGGGCCGGGGTTCAATTCCTGGCAGGGAAAATGTATTTTTCTCCATTCCACAGCGTCCAGATGACTCTAGGACCCACCCAGCCTCAAATCCAATGGATAGATAGGGCTCTTCCCACGAGAGTAGAGCGGCGGAGTTCGAAGCTGACCACTCACCAGTGCGCAGATTAGGAACGGAGGAAAAGAGACATCTAATCCCCCATAAGTCTTCATGGGTTTGTGCTTAATTAACTGAACACAGAGAAAATTAATTTACCTACTATTAGGATTAGTTTCAGTCTCTCAGACGGGTAGTGTTCACTTTTAAACATATTGTGGCATGTGGATCCGTTGCCAGGCAACGACACCTAAATAAATAGCTATTCAATAGATGTTGCTAGGTAATGGCTCTGTAAACAACGGTTGTTCCTAGGTAATAACCACGACAGATTGATAACAAGCAACAATGGAGTAACTGGGAGGCCCTGTGCTCTAGGCAGTCCATACTATTTCTACGTTTCACAACAATAGAAGAACTGCTGGGAGAGGTGTTTTCTGTGCGGTCTGTGTCGAGGTTATGTAATGAGGAGCAGCTGCGATTTCGAGTCTTTAGACGACAGTGAGAAGAATAGGATGTTGATGTGAGATGGCTGCCAGCCTGGGAGTGAGTTGTGAGACAGTGGCCGGCCAGTAACTACGTGAACACGGAAGCTGAGGAAGTTACAGCATTGGAAGCCGTTACCAAGGCGATAACCGGCGAAGCTACAGCAGACTGAGAAGACTTCTGAGCACTGTAGTGAACTGCAGAGTGTGTGAATTAGGGATAGCGCTTAGTTACTTGTAGTTACGAACTGTTAAGAATTCAATGAATCCAGTTGCCAATACAGACTCCGTCTATAGTCGCTCATACACGTGACAGTATGTATTTTTAGCATTATTAGACCTATAACTTAAATGCGGGTCAGCTGAATGTGTATTCAATAAGCCGACACGAACTACCTGCTTAGTTTGGGCGAAAACCGAAAAGAGCTCACAGAAAAAAATAATGAACACACATTTATATAGATGTCACTGAAAGGTGCGGACAAACTATGGGCCCAAGTTCCGCGTATGAAAATAAGAAAAAGTGTCCATATCATATTTGTCCAAAACAAAATTAAATAGTTCCGGACACATGTTGATATGGACACTTTTTTATTTTTTGTTATTTGGAACTCGTGCCGAAATGTATCCCCACATGTCAGTTGAATCTTGTATATGTAACTATTGAATGATACAGTAGGGCCTTAGACTGGGATTGCACGTAAGAGACAGAAGTTAATAGGAGAAGAGAAAACTGCATCATGAGAACATTGACAATGTGTACTGCGATCGCAGTAGTGCGGAAGGCACAGCTGATGGTGGCCGAATATGTCTAAACAGTAGTGCAGTGAAGAATTTAAAAGGGTTAGTTTTAAGTCTTGATATTGTTACATGGTGGACGGTAAAAAAACTGAAAAATAAATTCTAATACCAACTGCAACACGGCGCTAGGATACAACATAACCACAGGCCGCGCCATACTCAAGCGGTTAGTCTCTGGCTTCCCACCGCGGCGGCCCGGGTTCGAGCCCGGGTGTGGTCACGTGGGATTTGTGGTTGACAAAGCGGCGCTGGGGCAGATTTTCTGCAAGTACTTCTGTTTCCCCTGCCAATCTTCATTCCACTAATTGCTCCACAATCACCCTCATCTATCATCTGGGGCCAGAAGTGGCCGCAGTACAAGGGACTTAGTCCCAGCCCACTACCAAAAAAAATATACAACATAACCACATAGACTGCTGAATATGGGGGACTAATTATCCTCTTAAAACTGGGATAAATACGACACTATTGACCCTAACAGGAAGAGTATTGTACAAACCCAAATGCAAATCACTGCACAAAATTAAAATCTATATTTCTTAGCATCTGAATAACCATTTGTTAGGACGGCCATAGTTTCATAATTAATTTAACATACTGTATTGCAACAAAGAATATTTTGAATGAGATTAAATA